GGTGGAGCTGGAGGAGACAGGGTGCGTGGGTAAAGTGCCTGGTCTCACAGCCCTGGCTCCAAGTCCTGCTCTGACACCTGGCTGTGTGACCCTAGGCAAGCCACGTTACTTCTCTGAGCCTCAGTCCTCCCATCTGCAAAATGGGGACCAAACAGCTAGCCCATGAGTGTTTCACCTAGCTGCATGGTCATCACTAGGATCCTTAGTCATAGCGGGTGTCTGGCCCAGGCAGGCCTCAGTCAAGGGCCACAGAATTGCCCATAGCGTGTGTGGGAAAGGGTAGGGGTAGGAAATGCCAGTGCCAGGACTTACTTTAGGCACAGTCCCAATGCCCAGTCAGTACTGGGCCACTCCAGGTGCCACTTGAGGGCTCCCCACCTGCAGGACAGAGCCAAGTTCCCATCCCAGTTCTTCCATGTTCCCTCTCTGTGGCCTTGGGAAAGTGACCTGCCCCCTCTGGCCTCCATTTTCCCATCTATAAAATGGGCATAGTCATGCTCCTCTGAAGGACCCAGAGCCCAGCACACAGTTGGCACCCAGGACTCACTCACCACAATTCTGACATGCATCCCAGCCTAGCCAGCACGCCCTCCCCACCGCTCTCCTCCCCAGCGCTCCTCTGAGCAACTCACAGATGATTTATACTTCAGAGGACGAATCAATACAATATACAGGCAAAGACATCTTTAATCTTTGGAAGGGATTAGTCTACAAGGTACAGCAGCCTCTTTCTACCGGCCGCTCAATTCTGATTTCAATTTGGCCAGCTGGAGTGCAGCTCTCTCTCTCTCCCTTTCTTTTCACCTGCCAAAAGACGTTCCTCCAAATCAAATTTCATTTAGCAGGTTGCTCGAGGAGACCTAGCTTCCTAAACTGCACTGACCAGGCCCCCGGGGGCTGCTGCACACTGGCATGGGGCGGTCTTGGGAGGGTTTGGGGACATGGGAAGCCCAGCCAAGCAGGAAGCCAGGCCCTCAGGGATGTGTGGCTGGTGCATGGGAGTGGCAGGCACTGTGAGGGGCGCCTCTGCCAGGACTGGAGTGCCCCAAACTGAGGCACTTTTAAAAACTCTTCAGTAGGCCGGGAGCAGTGGCTCACGCCTATAATCCCAGCACTTTGGGAGGCTGAGGCAGGTGGATCACAAGGTCAAGAGATCAAGACCATCCTGGCCAATATGGTGAAACCCCATCTCTACTAAAAATACAAAAAATGGGGGGGGGTGCACACCTGTAGTCCCAGCTACCTGGGAGGCTGAGACAGAAGAATCTCTTAAATCCAGGAGGTGGAGGTTGCAGTGAGCCGAGATTGCACCACTGCCCTCCAGCTTGGCGACAGAGCAAGACTTCATCTCAAAAAAAAAAAAAAAAAAAATCTTCAGTAGACTTAATTTTTTTCTAACCACCCAATACTTGATGTTTGTAAAACAAGTAAACAATAAGCTCACCTTCAGCCAAAACACAATGGCCAGACCCCACCCCATCCCGTGCCTTTCCTGCCCCTTCAGGTGGTGTGTCCATGTGTGTGCTTGTGTGTCCCTGTCATACCCTAGCACTTGCTCAGGGGCTGGCTCCTGGGTCTTGGCGAGCACGTGAACGGCAGAAGACAAGAGTACAGAAACAGGTGAGACCTCTAGTCCTGGAGCCAGCGCGCCTGGGTTCTGTTCCCTTCTCCACCTCTTACTCGCTGTGCCGCCTGGTGCCAGCTATCATTCAGCCTCTGCGCCTGAGCTTCCTCTCATGCAAAATGGGGACAAGGCAGCATCTACCTCGGAGGGCAGGAAGGACTGCCCAGGACAGCAGGTGCTGGGCACAGAGGGAGGCCTGCACGAGCGCTGGGGGTGACTTCGAGGTCCCTCGGGGCAGGGACTGAACAAACTGAACACTGAGACTCAGGGGCCCACTAACCCTTCCCCCATCCTACGTCTTTGTCCCCAAATCCTGCAGAGGTCATGCCTTAAACACAAAAGGCAGGAGGTTTGTTTGGGGAAGAGTTCAAGCCACAGAGGAGGAGAGGACCCAGCAGAGCAAGGTGGAAGGTGCAGCCAGAGGGAGGGTCCTAGGTCTTGGGTCTGAGCAAAGGAGAAAAGGACAAGGGTTAACCCCTTGGCAGGTGACTCCCACCTAGCAGAGCTGTGGAGCCGGGCCCCTGGCTGGGTCTCTGCTGCTGCTGGCACCCTGGGAGGGCTGGCTGCATGGGCTGCCGCTATGGGCATCTGGGGGCGGCATGCAGCCCTGGGCTGGGGACCTTCACCTGGGCTGGGGTGGGCCAAGAGGGGACAGCTCCTGGGGGCCGTCCAAGGGCCCAAGGGAGGGGCTGGGCTCTGGGGCTCTGACATTGTCTGCCAGGGTCCCCGGGTGCTATCGCCAGGCCGCCTGGAGGTGGGAGTGGGGTGCTGTTCACCTCTGCTTCCTTTTGCTCTGCCAGGCTGCCGGGGTGGGGAGTGGCCTGGAGCCTCAGCCACCAGTCAGTGCTGACCCACTTCCCGCTGCCCCGCAGCCCCCTCCACCAGGTAGAGGCACCCAAGCAGCTGCAGCTGTACAATTAAACGGGCTTATCCGAGATTTATAGCAGGATTATGACTTCAGGGTGTTACCAGCGGCCACCTCTGGACACTCTGTAGTCCGTAGGAAAAGCAATCGGAGTCCTCAGGCCATGAGGGTATACATATACAGGCACTGGGTCTCAGGCACTGGCAAGCCGTGTAGAGGCAGAGCCTTGGGAGAGACCAGAGGCAAGGCAGGGGGGCCCTCTCTGCAGGAAGTGGGTCTGCCAGGAGGGAGAACGGCCTCCCTGCTTCCTCCACACCCCCGTGACAGGGCCCCGAGGTAGTCACAGGCAGCATGGCCCCACAGCCCCCAGGAGCTGTCCCCTCTTGGCCCACCCCAGCCCAGGTGGAGGCCCCCAGCCCAGTGCTGCCTGCCGCCCCCAGATGCCCACAGCGGCAGCCCATGCAGCCAGCCCTCCCAGGGCACCAGCAGCAGCAGAGACCCAGCCAGGGGCCCCACTCCATGGCCCTGCTGGTGGGAGTCACCTGCCAAGGGGCTAACCCTTGTTATCGCTCAGCCCCTTATCGTTGGGACACCTGAACGCTTTATCACAGAGCCTCTGAGGACAGCAATTGAAGGCAATGCAGCAAGTTTAATGCGGGAAGGTGGCAGCAGGGTATGAGGGGGAGACCTCGAGGATAATGAAACTTGCCAGAGCCCCTCCAACCCCAACCACAGGGACTTCTCACTGATGCCCAAACCAGCACAGGCCTCCTGCAGCCCCTCCCCCCTCCCCTGCACCACAGACAGGTCAATTTTAAGGACTCCAAATTCTTCATTCCTCTGAGGGTCTGCTAGTCTGTCTGCCCATTTTCTGAGTCCCTGGCAGCCCCCTAGACAAGGCCCCTGGTCCCCACCCATCCCATCCTCTGCTGTGAGGAGAGCAGCTGCCCCGCAGGCTCCCGCACCAGGGATGTCAACAGTCCCCTCATCTGCACACCCAGGTCTGCAGAGGCTCACACCTGCCCTGCACGGGAGGCACCCAGAGCCGGGCGAGCCCGTGGGCCAAACCACAGTGCTCAAAGATGAGGCCAAGGCCCACATGGCAGCAGCCAGGCAGTCGGAGTCCAAATCAGGCCCGGCCGGGGTCTCTCGGGGGGTCAGTCACTGTGCCAGGACACCCCCGAGCCTGGCGTGACCCTGCGGCCAGGCGCTTGACTCACCGTCCTCACGGGACTTCTGGATGAAGGCCTCCACACCGCTCTCGCCATAGCTGCCCTCTGAGGCCACCGTGGACACGTAGTTCCACTTGAGGGCACGGACGATGTCCACCATGGCCTGGGCCTGGTACGTGTCCGAGGGCACCACGCGGGAGAAGAAGTCGTAGCGGCTGTTGTCACTCAGGTCTGGCGCTGTGGAGGCGTAGCTGATCTGGGGTATCTGGGGGGCGAGAGGGGCTGCTGAGGGCGGCGGCTGGCCCCCACCCTGCCCAGCCAGCCCCATGCCCCTACACTCCAACCTCCCTCTGGTTCCCACAGACTTAGGACCACCGCAGCCCACCCCTCCCCACGGGTGCTGCCACCTCCTCCAGAAAGTCTCCCAGTGGCCTCCCTGGGGTCTCCAAAGACACCCTAACCACACACACCAACACATACACACGTACATACACCACACACACATATACCCTGGGAGCCTCTGGGTGCCTCAATTTACACGAAGAACTCAAAGATCCCAGCCCAGGGAAAATCCCCACATGCATGAGATGATTCAGCCTGGAGTTGGGATGAGATTTCGGTGTTGGGAGGGGTCCTGAGGGGTCATGTGGCCCATCCCATGTCCTTAGGCAACTCCTCTGGTCAGGACCCAGAAGACCCTGTCCCCACAGCTCTCTGCCATCTCAGGCTCCTTCCTCATGCCCTGCTCAGAGGAGACAGAGCCTCTATTCCAGCCCCGGGTCCCCCACTCCACCCCCAAGGATGGAAGCCCAGGAAGCTGGCGGGGTGGGCTTCAAGAAGTCCCTTCTCTCTGCACTGGGGACACTGAGCCCAGAAAGGCACCAGCCTGCCGGGTGCCACAGCCCCTCCAAGGCAGAGTTGACCAGGCCCCTGCCCAGCCCCAGGGCTTTCCAGTCACAGGGCATCTTCCTGCCCCACAGGCCCCAGCTGGGCCCCCCCCACGTAGATGTGAGACTCAGGGCCCCTGCCTCCTGTAGATAACACCCAACCATCCCCAGGACGGGGAAGGGGTGTGGTCCCTCCTCTCCGCCCCACCCCTCCAGGGCCCACCCACTGTTTTGCTCTCCTGGCTGGCCCACAGGGACTCTCCCTCCTATGTGCCCTCTGCCCGTGCAGTTGTCCAAGAAGATGGAGGTGGGAGACGCACAGTGATCCGGGCTGGTGTAGAAACTAACATTTTCTGCCCCTAAGGAATCACTCAGGTTCAATCCTGGCCAAGAAACCTGTGGCCAGGACTTCCGGCCCAGTGGCAACCGTGGGTGGGAAAACGTTCCTGGGACAGGAGGGTTGGGGGTGACCCTGGCAAGTGGTTGCCCGCTTGGCCAAAGCCTAGTGTGTCCCCACCCCCAGGGACCACCTCCCAGACTGGTGGGCTCCCCTTCCTCAGGACAGGGGGCAGAGGCTCTGCCGACCCAGATGCTTCACCTCAATATCCTGACATTCAACTCTATTCACCTCAGCAAAGCCGTTACTGAGCACCTATTTAAAACACTCACAGAGCTTCCTTCTGGTGGGAGGAGAGGAGCAAGCAAGCCAACAAGTGACCGGGACCATTCTCCACAGCTATGAGGCCTCACAGAGTGGCATGAGGGGATGGGACATCAGGGCTGCAGGTGGCAAGGCTGGGAAAGGCCTCTCTGGGGAGGCGACGGCCGAACAGAGCCAGCAGGAGCAAGGATGGGAAAGTGTCGGAGCCCAGGGAGCGGCAGGTCCCAGCAGGCCCCTGGGGAATAAGCTTGGTGCGTGGGTGGCCGAGCAAGGGGCCTGTGTGGCTGCAGCAGAGCAGGATGGGGAGAATCAATGCACAGTAGGTCCTACAACCTCTTCATAAAGGGACAAGTGACAATAAGGAAGTTAACTGGGGGCAGTGAGGGTCCACCCTCCCCTTAGAATGGCCACCACTGAAAGCATGGCCCAGCTCAGCCACCCAGCTGACCTGCTCTACGCCTCCCCTGTGGGAAAGGCCCAAACCACTGGGACCTTCAGGGTAGGGGAAACAACTAACTGGTTTTTTGGATTTTCTAAGCAACGAAGGGTTAACTCCCAAACCTCTCACTGCAGCTCTTGTGGTCTTTATAAAATGGCACATACTACATTATCCACTGGCACTGTTTGTAACAGTAAAACTCTGGAGGCTGGGTGCAGTGGCTCACGCCACTGTAATCCTAGCACTTTAGGAGGCCAAGGCGGGTGGATCACAAGGTCAGGAGATCAAGACCATCCTGGCTAATAGGGTGAAGCCCCATCTCTACTAAAAATACAAAAAAAATTAGCCAGGCATGGTGGCACAAGGCTGTAGTCCTAGCTACTCAGGAGGCTGAGGCAAGAGAATCACTTGAACCCGGGTGGCAGAGATTGTGGTGAGCCGAGATCGCAACACTGCACTCCAGCCTGGGCAATAGAGCGAGAGTCCGTCTCAAACAAAAAACAAAAAAAACAAAAAAACTTTGGAAACAACCTACATGTCCATCAAGAGGGGATTGTTTAAAGACGTTCCAACCAGACAAGGAATATTACACAGCTGTGAAAAGGAACGAGGCCGATTTCCAAGCACTGCTCTGGGTGGGTCTCCAAGATATTGTGGGGTAAGAACAACAGCAATAAGGAGGCAGCGTGCAGGTGGCAGCTGTTGACTGTGTGGAAGGGGGGGTGCACACTCACTGCTCCGAAAAAGCACATGTGCGTTGCCTCAGGTGAGGAAAGCAGGTGGCTAAGACGGGTTCGGGCAGGGACCTTTCACCTTCTACCCTTTGTAGGTTTCCCGTATAGAACCATGCACATCTACCACCCATGTGGAAAGTAAATCACACTCATCCCTGAATCTCCGTGCCGCCGCCCCTGCTCTGCCAGCAGTGACTGAAAACCAGCCCAGTCCTCTCTGCCTTGGAGAACACTTCGCAGAAAAACAGCACCCTCTAAAACGTGAGCTCTGATTGGATATTTATTAATTCATTTTAAGGTTATTGTTATTTTGAGGTCTGAAAACGGTATTCGAGTCATGGCTGGTTTGTTTTTAAGGAACCTCGTGTTTTAGAGTAGTTTCTCAGCCTTCGCACTATTCACACTGCACAGGGAGGTTAGTTCTTTGTTGGGGGGAGGTCCCTGAGAGGCCAGCGTTTTGTTGACCTCTCTCTGCCCCCCTCCGCTGGGCCTCAGCCAGGAGCAATCGTCACCTGCCTGCCTCCATGCCCCTCCTCGTCAGAGTCTTGTCCTGACTTCTGGTGTTTCTTCCCACCAGGCCTGAGCTACCCGGGAGGGCAGGAGGCTCACTCAATTTTCTGGACTTGCTCGACCCAGGCCTCACAGCTGGAGGCAGATGGAGACACAGGACTGCCCAGATGAGGTGGCTCCTTCTCACTCATCTCTATTCCTCCTTCCAAGCTCCAGGCCCAGGTGGTGCTCAGCACAGGTGGTGAGCAGTGGATGGACGGATGGATGTCTGGGCATCCGCTGTGGGAACCAGCCCTGTTAGCAGCCCTCAGATCCTGGCCCATGTCCAGAGTGAGGCCCTGGCACACTGGCCCCAGCCCCATGGCACACACTCCATTCCCCCAGAGGGTGGGGGCCCAGCATGTGCTCCTGCGGGACCCGTGTGTCAGCCTGCAGGAGACCCCTGCGCTGCTGACTTCAAGAGCCCAGGAGGGGCCCCTGCCCTTCCCACAACAATTCCTGAGATGGGGGTGAGGGGATCACAGGCTCCTGAACAGGGTCCCGGGGACAAGCCAGCCTCCTGCAGTGTGTCCACCTGCCAGCCCCTCCTGCCCGCTCTCCCCCAAGCCTCCCTCCTCAGCTCTAGGCCTTCCCACATTTCCTGGGATGACAGTTTCAAACAGAAATTAGGGAGCTACACTGCTGAAGTTCAAATCCCAGCTCTGCCTCTCACCAGCTGAAAAGAAACTTGGGCAAGTTACTTCACCCCCCAGGCCTCAGTTTCTTCAGCTGCAGAATGGGAATAATTACAATAGCTGTCTCCCAAGGCTGTGAGGGTCACCTGAGGGAAGTCAGGCAAAGCACTCAGAACAGCGCCTGGCAGGAGGTGAGCGCTAAGGTTCAGCTCTTAGGGGAGATGCCATTCCTCCCGCTGAACTTCCTCTGGCAGCAATCACCTTCTCTTGCCTCTCTCTGACTTTACCTCCTAGGACTCTCCCTCTCTGCTGGCCCCTCCTGCCCGAGCTCTCTCCATGGCCTCATCATTGTCATTGTCACAGGGACATCCTGGGAATGCTATCGGGTTCTCCAAGGCTCTCTTGCCCCAGCCTGGAGTGGAAGGATGGGGGTAAGGAGGTGTCAAGGGCTGCCATGGGGCCACCACAGGCAGGCAGGGAGCCACATCTGCGTCTAAGCAAGTGACTGTGACAACCTGTTCCATGTGGGACTCTCACGTGTCTTCAGTTCCCACTATCTCCGCAGCCCAGCCTGAGCAGGAGGGGGACATGCAATTTACATTCTCCTCAGAGAACGCTCCTCTCCTCTCCCCACAGCAGCGGCGGGGGGGGGGGGGAGGCAGAGGTGCCCGCCCCAGTGCCAGCTGCTCCATCTCTCTGCCTCCTTTGCTTCCTTCACCCAACGCTTTGAGCACCTACTGTACACCGGGCACTCTTTCAGGTGCTGGGGACACAGCACCTTGTGTCACGCACTCATGGGGCAAGAGTCGGAAAGAACTCAGATCCCAGCAGCCCCTGACCAAGCACCAGCATCCTGCTCCAGGTCCCTCTGTCTGTCCCTTTCACCTTCCTCTTTGTCTCTCTTCCTCTGTCCCCAGAGCCTATGACCTCATCTCCCACATCCAAATCCCCCTGGCTCATCAAGGCCCAAGTCAAATGTCTCCTCCTCCAGGCAGCCCTCCCTGAGCCCTCATCCTCCAGAGGGGGCCTAGCCTCCCACAGCCCTGAACGTGGCTGCTCTGAGGGCACCAGGCACATCCTCCCAGTGTTACTATTCTCTGCCTACTTATCAATTCAACCGGCCTTCTAAGCACCCCACCTTGTAGGGCAAGGCCATGTGGAAAGATGCAGAGGTGAACCAGACTGATCCCACCGCAAACACCAGTCAGTACCCACTGCATCCTGGGAGACACCAGTCACCAGGCAGAAAGTGCTCCACAGTCTGGGCCCCCCTGCGAAGGGGTGGGTTGTACAGCCCCCTGGAGTGACACACAGTGTGCCTGCAGCCATCACCCAGGAGAGCCTCAGCAGAGGTAAGGGG